TTGGCAACCCTAATCACAGCCATGAGTGGAATATGAAGATGGGTGGACCCATGAGGGCCTGTGTCTTCCCAGATTAAGCTCATGTCCTTTTCAGGACCGAGGAAACCCAGACGCCCCATGCAGTCATTTTTTAATGATGATTTAATGATTGTTGAAATTATATTTTTTGGCATAATAATTCAACAGCACCAAAATGAAATATAAATTTTGTGAAGTTTCACCTTTGGGCTTGCTGCTGGGCAGTGTTCCCTGGCCGTTTGCCTGTTGGGCTTTACCAGGGCTTGCCTGCTGGGTGTACATCCAGAAAATGGATGAACCTGCCAGAGTCTTCGGTTTGTGTAACTCAGGAGGAGGGCCATCCGTGGGTTCTGGTGTGTATGGACGCACAGCGACCGCGGGAGAACTTCCCCTGTTGCTATGGAGAGGAAGGCTGCTGTTGGACAGGACCGATGTATCCTTCAGCTGACTGCCATACAGTTTCTTTTTACCAGGGAAGGTCCCTGTGTAAAACTCAGGCTTGGAGAAGGTTGGTGGAGCTGGGGATGGTTTAGGTTTGCTGGGAACTGGTGGCGGCACAGTCGACTTGGACGGGCCATTGCTAAATGGCTGTGGATAAAACAAACAAACAAAAAGTTAACACAAATATTAATAGCAGGGAAATCCAGTGTAAGTTCAGATCCATACAGGAAGGTAAGAATAAAACACACGGCTTTACTCTGATGACCTCTAAACAGGCAGTCCATGGAAACATGTTCTACCGTTTTGTAGTTTCCTCAGCTTTGGTGTCAAAGGAACCGTCATATTTAGGGGTTACAGAAAAATTATATGTTTTCTGTAAAATTGCAAATCAAAGCAACTGTTTAAGTCAAATGTGGAACATTTTCAAGTCATTTTTTAATTTAAATACATTGTTTGATCTATAGGCTTTAAAGGACAGCTGTAACTGCTGGTAGCCATCCCTGAACAAATGTCTGTGTTGCAATGAGGCCTCGATCCAACAATGAACCTTGAACCTGCAGCTCAACATATTTAGACCCCATTTTTTATTTATTTATTTTTTTGCCATCAACTTTGTCACGACCCGATCCGTCCCATCAGCTCATCACCGGATATATACCAGCTCCACAGACAGCCTCTTCCAGGAAATGTCAAGGTTTTGGTTCTGGTCAAGTTTTATCTCTGAGTTTTCTTTGCTCTTATTTCCATTTTTGTGTTCTATTTTTTTTTATTGTATTTGAGTTCTTAGGTATCTCTAGTTTGCCCTCTTGTGTCAGTCTCCTTTTCCCTAGCTCCCTTCTAGGCTCCTCTGTTCACACCTTTCTTTCTCGCTCCCATATATTCTCCTCTTGTTCAGTCACTCTTTGCTGGTTTGTCGTCATTTCTTTTCCCCCCTCTTGTGAGTATTTCTGGTTTTCAGTAGTTTTGGATTTTTGTGGATTTATGTTTTAGGATTTTTACTTCTGTTACCCTTTTTGTTATTAAATGTTCAAGAAACCACATCTGCTTCAGTGTCTCCATTTGAGTCCTGTCAAAACTCCAACCCAGTGTGACAGAAAACACAGCCAGGCAGACGAGCTCCGAGCCAGCTCCCATGTCAGAGGATGAAGAGAGCACATCCAGTTAGTCCCAGTCAGAGAAACAGGACTACACTGGAAAACAGGCCAGGCTCCAACATCTATAAATATCTATAAACATGGGAATTGAAAGGAATATGCTCTCATCATGTCCTATGAAGACGTCAGACAAGCTGTTTAAAACCGAAAATGTAAAAACCATCAAATTGTTTCAGGACAGTCATAAAAGTTTTTTTTTCTGAATATGTGTATTAGCATTCTTTAGTCAATTAAGGATAGAAATAATTAGTTTTAGTACCATAATTACAATATTTATCGAGACCTGGATTATTATCTGTTTCCACATGTGCTAATGAGCGATGGTACGGATCGTGCTTCTGGGACGGTTCGGGTAGTGACACAGCTAAGCAAACATCTGACCCTGAGACGCCCTTGCAGCGTCTAACTCCCCATTTAAAGGCTTGTTGTTAATAGCAGTGAGACATTTAGAAGAGTCCAGTGATACCTGGGTGTCCTTGAGCTGCTTCTCTGTGGACTGGCCAGGTCTGGAAGAATCTTTGGAAAGAATGTGAAAGTCTTCTTTCAGTGTCTCCAGTCTTACAAAGAATGCTTCACATTTAAATCTTTGATTTTAAAGATGTTTTTCCCCTCAGAATCATAAACTGTTCATCTAGCAGTCCCTTCATTCCATCCTGGAACACTTCATGATCTCTACATCTCTGTCCTGATGGCTGTTACTCTCTACTGCCACACTCACTCTGAGCTTCATATTTACATCATAATACTAAACTATGGAGACAAACTAAACTTTCTCTTCTCTTGATTTGATGGAACTAGAAACAATGAAGTTCAGCTTGACTGGTGGTGTCAGTAAATATCTCACTAAGTTATAAAAGCAGCAGAATAAAGCACATACCAACAGCTGGGACGTCTGGTCTCGGTGGCGGCTTTAGACATACTGGTAAGGTAGCAGTACCATCTGGATATGTAAACTTTACCAACACTTCCGTGGATGAAGGCCCAGCAGGATGCTGGGAGCTGGACCTGGAAGCGGACTTGATGTACGGTCCCACTGCTGCTACTCTGGAGCTCAGCTCATGCTGTGGGTTGATGCTTTCTGAGGCCACCTGACAGAAGATGGAGGAAGCAGGGATTTACCATCAGGCAATGCTAGGCAGTTGCCT